AGATAACACAACCCCAAATATTCCCTCTTCTGACCTCTAAGGACACCAGGCACATTTATATACATGCTGGCCAAACATTCATACACATGAAATTTAAAAATATAAAATAAAAAAAAAATTTAATGGGGTTGGAGTGTGGATTCGGGTATCAGACCAAGAAATTGAATGGCTCAAAATTCCCAGAATTTATATACAAGTAAACACAAAATGATTTATTTTATAACTCGAAGGGCCTATGATCTTACCATTAATTTGTATGTACACATATAAAGTAAATTAATCCCTCATATTCAATGAAGCACTTATTAGACCACTGGAATTTAGTTTTAAAAAAAAAAAAATCAACAAATAAGCCCATGTTCTTATTATTCAATACAAAAGGAAATTTTCTAGTAATTTTTGATATGCGTTTGCCTTCTGACAAGTTGGATTTGTCTAAAGTTTCTGCTTCTAAGCAAATCACTTCACGACTAAACTAAGAAATCAGCACATATTAGTGTCCTCAATATAGTTGGACTGTGCTCTTTCTGTTCAACAACATGCAACAGTAAAATAACCCGTACCTCAGAAATAGCCCGTACCTCTTTCACTATGCTTTGCTTCCTATAGTAAACATACTGAGATATGCTTGGGTCAGTGAGCTGGCTTAGCAGGTAAAGGCACATGACAAGCCTGACCAACCACCTGGGTTGAGACCCCAGACCACACAGTGGAAGGACAGAGTCAAGTTGTCCTCTGGCCTACACACACACACACACACACACACACACACACACACAGAGAGAGAGAGAGAGAGAGAGAGAGAGAGAGAGACTGTCTCATCCCACCATACATAAAAATAAATGTAGTTATTACTTCTAACAGTCTGAGCGAAATTTAAATTAGAAGGGACTACCTTTTCATGTTTCTTTTACCATCCCCCACAGAAATATAGAAAGATATTAAACAACAAAGTCTTTTATGCTCATTTAAACTTCACAGCTAGAGAAGTGCCACCCATCTATAACTTCTATCCTAACCAATAAAGATTTGAGTAATCCTTCCAGAAAAAGGGGATAATTAACACTTACCTGGTATTTAAGCAACCACCTTAAAAAAAGCTTAATAGGGGCTGGTGAATTCCCTCAGTGGGTAAAGGCACTTTCCACCATGTGTAACAATCTGAGTTCAATCCCCAGTACTCACATGGTGAACGGAAAGAACTGACTCCTGACCCCACACTCTTGCAACACACACACACACACACACACACACACACACTCTTAAAAAAATAAATGTAATCCTAGAGGCATCTAGGAGATATTGCTAACATTTCAAAAAGGCTACATACAAATTATATTATATAGAGAGAAATAAAATTTTCCTATTAATAAATGGAAACTGATACATCTTTGATGGCATTATTTCACCATATTCCTCTAAACAGTTCTGATGCTCATTCACAACCAAACATTATTACTTTCTACTTGTTCGCTTACATGCTACAACTACATCTTTGGCAAGAAAAGTTGTACCTAATGTATAAAATAACCTTGCTCCTGACAGCCTGTCAAAAAAATATACAGAAATTAATAAGTTGGTCTTGAAGTGGGGGGGCTGTGTCACTGCTTTCTGGGCCTGAGTTTCAGTCGTCTGTAAAACAGGAGTGGGGAAAAGTAGAAAAGAGGATCTCTAGGGTTCTTTTCTATTCTTTAACACACTGTTGGCTTATATAAATTTGGCCTTAGATTTCTAACTCAACATAAATAAGAACCTCATAAAATATCAGCAAATAGCACAACTGGCTTTTGTGTCAGATGTCCAGGTTCATTCAAGTTCTGATAGTGTGTAGCTGCTTAATTCTAAGCAAGAAAAACTCTCTGGGTTTCAATTTCCTCAACCAGTAAAATGAAGCTGTTAGATAATATGAACTATTTCAAATACAAGATAGCCACATTTTATGAAACAAGTAACAAGCTAGCTCATGTTTATTCAGGTGCGGATTGAGTTACCATTCATTACCTTTTGAAACATTGGATCCGATGGGATCTTACAAACCTACTACCATTCACCCAACTGAGACTCAAGTCCTCTCCTTTACTTTTTCTTTTCTTTCTTTCTTTTTTTTTTTTTAAAGAAGCCGTCTAGCCATTCTAGTTATGGCAAACTACCCATGGTCACAAGCCACTCCATCTTAGGCCAGCTATGGTGTAAAGTTCTTTTACTAAAACCATACCATCCTCTTCCTAATGTTCACTCTGTTTTACCTCTCTTTTACTTAAGGGACTTTGATATACTTTTGGGTTGAAACTGACTAGAAGTAACAGACACATCTCAAACAGCCTCTCCTCCAAAAGAAAGATCGCCAACTGTCAATCTTTCCTTGTAACACACCAACCCACCCACCCCCACCATCCATCCTGTCTTCCTCACCGGAACCTCAGTTCTCGCTTTAATGAGAGTCAAAATTAGCTGGGAGAAGGTGGTACACACCTTCAGTCCCAGCACTTGGGAAGCAGCGACAAGAAGGATCTCTGAGTTCGAAGCCAACCTGATCTACACAGTTCCAGGACAGCCAGGGCTACACAGGCACTCTTTTGGAACACCCCAAACTGCCTTTGCCACCTCCACCCAAACACACATTTGGGGTGAGAAGTAATAACGCCCTGTTGCTCCTCCGGGAAATACCGAACCAGAAGTCATGGCAGCACCAACCGAAGCCCGCACCCTGTTCTGCCCAGTCCGAGCCTCGTTCCTCACCGGTACTGCTTGGGGTCGCTGGGAGACTTGATGATCTCAGGGTCGCCGGCATTACTGAAAGGGCCGCTCCGTCCCTCCTCTTCAGCTTCATCCACTCCTAGACGGGCAACCCGGCCGCTCTCGCCCAAGTCCTGTCCATTGGGCTGCAGGTCCGGGCAGCTGCAGGTGGACTTCGCCTTGTTCCTTCCAGGCATGGTCGGCGTAGGAAAGGGTTTCGCAGATCCTTCACACAGACCCCGTGTTCCGATTCGCCCCAGAGCCGTGAGCTCCCGCCCGGCCTCACACCACAACTTCCTCCCGGTGGCACAGACTGCAGCAACCGCGACTCTCCTCAGCATTCACCAGCAAATCGTCACGATGGACATCCCGCTCCCCAGGCCCACCTCCTCCTCCTACTCCTCCTGCCACTCCTCCTCCTCCGTGTCCCAGGGGCGGCGGCGGCGGCCGGCGTTGTTGCTGCCGCAGCCGCTGGGGAGGACAGGCCTGAACCCCTCCTCCAACCCGGCCTCGCTCACACCGACTTCCTTCATCCCACCCTCCTGACAGCCAATGACGCTATGGATCGTAGCCAATCACAAGGCAGGACAGCCGTCACGTTTTCAGAAACAGCCAATAGAAGCAGATGAAGGAGAGGGGCCAATAGGAACCGGCCGAGTTCCTGACGCACCCAGAGAGCATTTCGAAATCTGATGTGGGCGGGGTGAAAGAAAAGAGGCGGAGGATGATGGGAAAGGCTTTGCTGCGATTGTGACGTGCGCCGGTGTCTGTTTTAAGGAAACCGCGTAACGCTCCGCATCTCAGAAAATATTCCCCAGCGAGACGACGCAGGAGCTGATCTTCCTTTCCACCCATTTGCAATGAATTTCTTGTACTCTGCTCTCACGGTGACTCAGCAACTCTTTTTTTAAAAAGCGGAGCACCGGAAGTCTTTTCCTACCCTATCCTGAGATGGACGCTGTTCTTGTGGGTCACTAAGCACCGGAAATAACAATTGCACCTTTCCATCCTGTAGGCTGCCAAGCTGTCGGTTCTTTTCTCGCCCAAAATCCGAAAGAGTGCCTAAAAGATAGGTTTGGTTATCTCACTCCCGAATGCGAAATGTTTATTTGGGTTTTTTGTTTGCTTTTTTTTTTAACCTTCCCCACAAGCTGGAGTTCTGCCTGCCTTTAAAGTGTAGCCAACTTTTACTAAAATGCAAAAACACATTAGTCTGCCGCCCTCAAGTTACTTTCCCAAGTTTTGTTGTTGTTGATACTGTTTGCCAGAGTTTTTGCTGCGATTGGAACAGACACTGTAAAATAAAAAGCAATTGACAAGATAACAGTATGCTGACACCATTAGGTAAGAGATCATACCCCATGAAGGAAATTAACGTTTCCAACATGAATAAACGAAAAAGACTTGAAACCGGTAGATGCATTACACTGGTTGTCTTTCCTGCCTCTGAACATCAGGTGTTGAAGATAGAATCATGAACAAAACAAATCATTGCAGGTGTGGTATCCCGTGCCTTGACTCTCCATGATCAGGGAGGCAAGAGGCAGGTGAATCTAAGTCAAGAGGCCAGCCTGGTTTACATAGCAGTTCCAGACTTCTTCCAGAAGAAGAAAGAAAAGAGAAAAAAAAATTTTTTTAATTTAATTTTAAAAAAATCCTTGCCTTCTGGAAGTTTACTTTCTTATTAAAAAAACAAAACAAAACAAAAAAGCCCCAGATACGTTCAAAAGCAGTAAATGCTAAGACTACAATGCAGGATAGGAGGATAATGTGTTGGGGAGGTGTATTGGGACAGGAGTATTTGAAAATATTGAGATATCCTGGTTTCAATACACCTTCAGAGATTTGTCCGTTTGTAGGCAATTCCACTGGAATTCAAAGCAGCTTCATCTGTGTCTCTCCAGTCCTACAATGGATGCCCAGTGCATTGTAAAACCAATAGCAAATATTGATTAGACACCCAAGTGACATAGTCTGTGCTTTGCACAAGGATGTTGTGTGTGTGCTTTTTTTTTTATCTCCAAAGCAATAATGCCAAAAATAAATCCTCAGTTTCAACTGTCAATTTCGTTTCCTAAGGAGAAAAGTAGTTTAGACCCTTAATTGAGATTTGCTGGGTTTTCCCTCTGGTGAAATATGTATTCATTTAACTAATCAAGTTAGCTCCTGTTATATGCCAGAAATCGGAAATAACAAATACTTCCCCTTTCTCTTGAGCTCACAAGAGAGCTAGTGGAGAGATGGACATTAAGGAAGCACACAGAGTGCTCTGTTTGGCAGCACATATACTAAAGTTGGACCAATACAGAAAAGATCAGCATGGTCCCTGCTCATGGGGTGATAGGCAAATTCATGAAGAGTTCCATATTTTTCTGAAGTGGCCTGGCACCGTGATCAGTTGCTTCAATGCTTTCCTGTCTCTTTCCCCTCTAGACCCAAGAGCAGATGCTAAGTGCAAAGATGGCATCTCTGTAACTTAGCACTTAACACCTTTCAGTGTAGAAATTTGAGTATAAAGCTCCAAAAGAGAAGCATATAAATTTTAAGTCTATAATTATAAATAACTCTAGATGGGGATACACAAACAGATATACCCTATTTGGAGAGTTTTCCCAAAGAAGGGAAATCTAAGCTAAGAATGGAAACTGTATAAGGATTGGTATGGAAATGAACTTAATGGAAAGCTCTGAGTGTGGTTAGACTGGTGATCTGGAAACAAAGGGACAGGGTTCAATGGCAAAGATCACACAGACATTCCAGAGAATAAGACATCATTCTGTTTCATGCATCATTGGATTCCCAAATCTTAGAATGTTTTCCAACAAACTATAAATACTCACTAAGTAATGTGTGAGCAAATGAAGAGAAGGAATGATCACAATTGTTTTCCAAGTAGATCACTATGGTTGATGAGTTATAAAAAAATAAGTAAGCAAATAAATAAATAAATAAATAAATAAATAAATAAATAAATAAATAAATACCTAGAGCCAGTTGGAGGCTGGAGAGACAGCTGCAAGAGGACCAGAGTTCTGATCTCCAGAACCTATGTAAAAGTTAGGCAGATGATGGTCACCTAAAATTCCACCACTTGGAAGGAGGATTCCCAGGATGCCTTAACTAGCTAGACTGGTCAGAATTGACAAGCTCTGGATTCAGTGAGAGTCCCTGAATTGAGAGTTTGCTCAATAAATTGAGAGTTTGCTAGGTGGACTAGGTGTAGTAGCTGTCTGTAGTGGCTGGTCTTTGAGGTGGCAGTCTGTATTAACCGGTGTTTGTGACTGAGAAAGGGAGTATGGATTGAGAAGCGGCAGGTAAAGATACTAAGGAAAGGATAGAGACACAGGATAGAATCAGGACTGCAATCCAAATTTATTCTTCAACATTCTTAAATACCCTAACCAAAAAAGAAAAAAAAAAATGCCAAAAGACTTCTTTATCAAGATACAAGAAAGAAACACACTTTCTTCCTTAATTCTCCAAACATTTGGTAACCATGCCTTAGACCAAATCTCTCATTATCTGGCCTTCAGGGTTAAGAGTAATCACACCTCAGACGAAATCTCTTGTTATTAAGATAAGACATCTATGCCTAAAACCAAACATCCTGCCGTAGCCAGCCATGCCTTAGACCTTTAGTTCTTATGACTTTAACCTTGGAAGAGTACGGACAGTTTTGAACTCTCTGATCTTAAACCAAGATGAAACAAAACCATTTTTATGGGCCCCAACAACTAGGCTGGCTGGATGTGAATCCTAGGATCTGCTTGTCTCTACCTCTCCAGTCGTGGGATTTCAGGCTGCCACTGCTGAGTGTCTTTCTCCAGTCTGGGGATTATTATAAGTGTGTACTGCCATGAGTGGCCAAGCATTACTATAGGCTTGCCAGATAAGCACTTCACTGGTTGGGCTATTTTCCTAGATCTAAGATACCATTTTAACCTCAATTACCCAGACATTTTCAGATTACTTAAAGTTTTTTTTTTTTTCTATTTCCACTCCATCTTTAGCTACCCCACAGTCTTTCCTAATTCTTACCCTGAGGATTACCTCCTAATGGACTTCATAATCCTTCCTTTTTTTCTGACAAGACTTCAGAAATCAGCAAAATTAAAAATATCTCAGTTGTAAGATTAATGGCCACTTCTGAATGTGGTTTTATCGATGCAATGGCTGTCTACCTGCCTACCACAGGGACAGATCTGAACCTTACTCTTAAAATGCAAAAGTTAATTCTTTTTTAAGAGCTGAAGATTTGATAAGAATTCTCAGAATTTCCTCAGATGATGAAAACAAAAAGAAAATTACATAAAGTCCTATACTTGAAATGTAGAAAAATGTCTCCTTTTGGAGAATGGAAAAGCCAAAGTTAAGGGGAAAAAATTCGTTTTGGCATAGTTTCAAATGCCAAAAGCAAAACTGGTTAAAAGACTTTAGGCTTTAGATAACTTATTTAATTCACACTATATTTTGAATTTGTTCATTATATTTATAATTTTATCTCTGAATATGTTTTAGTATGAGTAGGATATTTTATATTATTTTCTACTTTGCCAGATAAGCACTTCACTGGTTGGGCTATTTTCCTAGATCCAAGATACCATTTTAACCTCAATTACCCAGACATTTTCAGATTACTTAAAGTTTTTTTTTCTATTTCCACTCCATCTTTAGCTACCCCACAGTCTTTCCTAATTCTTACCCTGAGGATTACCTCCTAATGGACTTCATATGTTAATTGTGCACAAATTAATGAAACTCATGACATATTCATGCACATGTATGATGTACTTTGATTATATTAACTACCTCTCTAGTCTCCTTCCTCTTCCTAAATGTTTACCCTTGTACTTTCATATTTTTTCTAGAGTCTAGATTTCAAAGGTAATTTCTGTCAGAGTCAGGATGTCAGAAGTGTGGAGTGTGGATTCCGCATTGAGTAAATGGATGGTATGAGCCCATTAAAGTTTCAAGCCCCACATTATTTCCTTTACTGTACATTAGTCATTCATTATCCTCTCTGTAATGCCATCTAAATACCAGTAACACTCTTAGGAATGTAAAACACCATTTTGTGATGGATTTGTTTTATTTCTTCCTTCTCTCTCTCCTTCCCTCCCTCCCTCCCTTCTTCCTCCTTTCTTCCCTCTCTCTCTCATTCCCTCCCTCCCTTCTTCCTTTTCTCCCTCCCTCCTTCCTTCCCCTGCTCCCTATCTTCACCACTTTGGGCAATCTGAGATTATCATAAACCTGAGGTGAGTGAGGAGATGGCCAAATGTGGAAGAAACTGTAGAGAGAAAACAAGGGGAGAAAATAAGGAAAATAATATCTTCAATCCTTTCCAAGACCCACAATGTAAGAAACCATATCTTTGGAGCTTCAATTAAGAAGTGTCCCACTCATTGATTGCTCTTCACATATAATAGCTTTGTATTTATCTAGGTCAGGAAGTAGGTGTATCCTTATGGTGGTTAGCTTTAATTGTCAACTTCTAATGAACCAGAATTACATATGAGAGATTGTCTACATTGGGTTTGCCTGTGGGCACAGAGAATTATCTTAATTAGGCTAATTAATGTGGAAAGACCCAGCCCACTGTGAACCACACCATCCCTAGGCAGGATGTCCTGAACTATGTAAGAAAAGAGAAATTGAGCTAAGCACAGGCAAGCATGTATACATTCATTTTTCTCTTCTCCTGACTAATTATTAGTAGTTCTTGGCTTGATCGGCAATGATGGGCAACACTCTGGAACTGTAAGTGAAAATAAACCCTTTCTCCCTTGGGGTATTTTATCACAGCAATAGAAATGAAACTACCACAACTGCAAACATAGTTCTAGGAGGAATTTAGTGTTTGGACCTTTGCTGTGGAATAATCTTTTTGTACACTGTGAATATGGTTTAACAAAAAGGCTGAACATCCAAAAGCTAGGCAGGATTTGGGGGCAGAGAGACTCTAGGAAAAAGAAAGGCAGAGTTACCAGCAGACACAGAAGAAGCAGGAAGCCAGCATGGGCAGTACAGGGTAAAGGTAATAAAACCACGAAGCAGAAAGTAAATTAATAGAAAATGGGTTTATTGAAGTTATAAGAGCTAGTTAGAAATGAGCCTACACTATTGTCAGAGGTTTAATAATAATCAGTCTCCATGTTGTGATTTGGGAGCTGGCAGGCAGGACAGATACAGATGCCCTACAACCCTTAAAAGAAAATAAGAAGGCATTGGTGATGCACACTTTTAATCCCAGCACTCTGGAGGCAGAGACAGGTGGATCTCTGTGAGTTCTTGGTCTACAGAGCTAGTTCCAGGACAGGCCCCAAAGCAATACAGAGAAATCCTGTCTTGAAAACACACACACAAGAAAGAAAGAGAGAGAGAGAGAGAGAGAGAGAGAGAGAGAGAGAGAGAGAGAGAGAGAGAAAGGAGGGAGGGAGGAGAAAGAAATTAAGGACTCAAAAAGCATCATGTCACATGAAGGATTATTCTGTAATAAATCTAGATAATGGTTCCTTGTCTTTGTTCTAGAGACATACATTTTGGAACTCCCTAGAAGAAAACTGTAGACACAAGAGTTATGTCAGTTAACATAACTCCCCTTTCAAAACCCTTTCAGCGGCTCCTCTGTATACTTACAATAAGCATTATCATCTGCTCTAGTCTGAGGAATTGCTTGGGATTTCTGTTCTTCTTCTATGTCAATTATCTCAGCTACTATTGGGGCCTTTGCTCATCACACTGACTCTATTTTATTCTTTTATTATTATTATTATTTTGAGACTCTCTACTCAGGCTGGACCCCAATTCCCTGTGTAACTGAGGAGAACTTTGAACTTCTGATCTTCCTGCCTCTACCTCCCGGGTGCTGGGATTGCAAGCATCCACCACACCTAGTTTATGTGGTACTGAGGATTGAACCCAGGACATCATGCTTGCTAGGCAAGCACTCTACCAGCTGAGCTACATCACTAGCGCTAACACTCATTTCCTTGTTGTCCTTGAACAGATTAAGGTATTTCTTTCATCAGGGCTATTGCAGTCCTCTGGCTGTACTTTTCTTCCTTTAAATTTTATATCACTGGCTCCTCAGCAGTCATATGACATCTCAAACACCATTCTTGTGCATGACAGAGACAGACCAGGGAGAGAGGGATGAGGGAGGGAGAGGGAGGGAAGGAGGGAGAGAGGGAGGGAGAAGAGAGAGGACAGCCTAAGTGATGTCCACCTTCTCTCTTTGTAGTCTCTCACTGGTCTGGGCTTTGATGATAAGACTGGACTGCCCGGCCATCAAGCCTACTGGCCATTGAGCCTAAGGGATCTGCCTGCACATGCCTCTCTAGTGCTGGAATAACAAGGTCATGCCACCGTGGGT